TAATTATATGTAGTAGTTACCGTATAAGTTTTTATTGGTTTTCTCCAGATATCCTATAGGGAGGTTAAAAGGTCACGAGAAGGCACAGCCTTCGAGTGACCTTTTAACCTCTCTATAGGGTATCTAGAGAAAACCAATAAAAAACTTATACGGTAAGTCACATGTACCATAGCACTCTCAGATTTCCTAATACGGCAGAGAGATGATGTATAAGTTGCAAATAAATTTCCTAATATGGTTTGTCACCTGACATAATTATAATTTCACGCGCTATACACTGTGCATATATATTACATTTTATTGCACATTTTGTGCACTTGCAATCAAAAAGCGAAAATAGACAAACACAGCGCAATGAGCATGGATCTGGATTTTCTTGAACTTCCGCAAAATTTTGAATGGGACATTTCTATCGATGATCAAGCTCTCTCACAGATAGGCCAGTTGATAGAGGACGAAGTAAACATGTTTGATGGTATTGGGGATTTATCTCTTACTCAAACGGATTTTAATTTGACCCAGGAGCCGGTTACACCTGAAAATGTTATACAGCAGTTGGACCATTCTGACGATCGATTTGGAAAGTTTAACGATGACGACGATATGGAAAAGCCTTCTAAAGTCTACCGAGAATAAATTAAAGATTTTGAATAAAATTAAATTGATTTTGCATGCAATTTAAGACATGCACCGCCTATAGGTTATGAAGGCTCCGCCCATGGGTTATGGTGTAGATAACCCATAGTTAAAACAATAGAAAACATGGCGGCCTATGGTACATGTAAAATATGAACATTAACCAGTCTGTTAACATTTAAAGCTAATTCAATTTTAAAATTCAGGACCAGTATTTAAGTTTTTTTCTTATTGAAATCTGATTTATGAGTATGTACTCAACAAGGAAACATTTGTAACAATTTCTAAATAAATTTGCTTCGAAAACATAAAAATGCTAATAATTCAAAGGGGGGCTTTATCTATTTACATGGGTAAATATTGAAAAAAACAAACTTAAAGTCACTTTCTACTTTGGATTTCAGTATAGGAGTAATATACTTTGTGGTGTCATTGACCAATAAATTCATGTTAAGGATTAAAAAATTTAAAGAGCATTTAAAAATCAATAGAGCAGAAAAATTACCATAAGAAACATTATAAAATTGTTTACAATACCGGTATTTTAAATGCAAATTCAGTTACTCAGAATATACCAACCACTTACCATAAACAACCTTGAAAACTCAACTTCTAATTTCAAAAAGTCAAAGTCGCTAAATGGGTCAGTAGTAAAATATCAGAATGTAAATAACAGGAAAGTGAATAAGTATTTAGTGTATCCTGTAAATGATAAATGTCTCACTCCATCCACACAAGGACTCTTTCAGTGATTTGTACTGTCAAAGCTGTTATGAATATAAATTACATTTTGTAAACAACTCAAAAGTCAAATGTGTCAATTTACCTCTGAAAATTCAAAATATAAACTTCAGAAACAAGTTTGGTACCAGAATGAGAAAATTAAGACGTAGGCCTATATGATTTACAAATGAAGAAAAAAATTTCAAAGTGTAAACACTACAGCAAACAGCTGATCGACAAGCTGTTAATGTAAACAAGCACTGAAATACTCAATAAAATTCAAAAATACAAATAAATTACATGACTTACTTTAAACAAGCAATATCCAAATAAGAATAAACAAAATTATCAAATAATTTTACACTTTTATCAGTCTAGAAGTCTTGAAATTCACAAATCCACGTGTGGAAAACAAGTTCAGGTTCAAACCGGATATAGATTTACACTGAAAATGTTAAAGTCTGTATGGACGGAAAAGTAATTTCCGGAAAGTTTATAGTACAAATTTGGATGGACGGAAAACAAATTTCCGGAATGTTTATAGCACAAGTATATATGTATTCACAATAGTGCAGTTTCTTCTGAACAAAACTCACTCAGGTGTGACACAGGTGGGTTACCTTGTGTGTTGTCAGTCTGTAGCAAAAAAACACAACAGCTGTTGAAATGTTGATTGAAGGCTTTGATCCACCACTGACTTTATTATCTATGGGGGACTGGAGGTGGCTCCTGCAGTTGGTGCCATCATCATCATTGTCCCAACGTGGGCGCCAAATTTGTAGCAGAGCAGCAATCAAGACAAGATGGTTTTGAAATCAGTGTGATGTTTATTACATGGATTATATACTTAAGTACCAGATTCTGCAAAACAATATAAAATACATTAACTATATTTGATATCACACGTAACAGCAGAATCTATTGTTATCATAAAATCAAATAATTACTACATATTAATTAGATCATAAAATAATATTGACACAGGTCAATGAGTTATATCTCTTGACAAATGATATTTCTCTTTATATATTCACTTCATATAGTGGATAAATATTTACAATATACATGTACATATAGCTACATACCAAACTATGGGTATGAATCCATCTCTATTTCTAATACAGTGTATATGTATTGCTATGGATTTAATATCTACAATTCATAAATAACATTTATACACTATATATTCTTTTGTGTCATAAAATACATTTCATTACAAAGTTTAAAATCAACTAGTTCATCAGCTTTGACAAACTTAAATAATTTAATAAATTCTCTCATATGCCACTTTTCATTCATACAATTATTAATATGAAAGTATTAATGTGAAATAAGAATGTCAAAAAGTCAACTTACTGTCAGTGGTCTATAAAATACTCCAAATATCAAAAATACAACTTTACACACTGACTGCTCCTAGGCTAGTAATTATCTGGACACTCTGGACAAAGGGGGTTAAAGGTTTTGGTGGGAAAATATTAACCAATGGCAATTCTTACTTATTTATTTATTCAAGGTTAAGAGTTTAACTGTAATTTTAGAACTCTAGAGATTTCTAGACTTTAATTAGAGGTAGTTGTTATAAATTTATTTAAATGTTTAATATTTAAATAAAACATTTTTATTTTAAATTAAGTTTATTATTGAAAGTTATTTCATAACTTTCAATGGCATCTGAAAGAAAATTGTTGTTATAATTAAAATCAATTTAAAATCATGACTATTACAGTGCCAACATATAAAATAGATGGTTTTTAGTAGGCCTAAATTAGCAAGAGTTATTTCCCGTTGGTCGCCATATTGGATGTCAACATGCCCTTATTCCTTCATTATTCAACCAACTTTAACTTTTAATATTGGCCATTTTGAGATAAGAAGCATTGTTTTCCTGAAAAAAAAATACGTTTGTTAAAGCCTCCTTTATTTCATAGTTTTTATTCTATAAAGATTTTTCTCCAAATATTTCTGCTACATCCTCTTAAATTTGGCATGACAAAGAGGAAAAATTACCATGTTGACCACAAAGACGGCGGCCAAGGGAAATAACTCGGAGAGATAAATATGTCATATGAAAACTATCTATATACACCAACAGAAACCTAAATATATCATAATTATGTTAAAGAAGAAGCCTTTTTGAAACCAGAAGTTTTTATTGCAATTTTTGCGAGGAGACAGGCTTAGGGTTTTCATTTAAAAGAGAAGAAAATTCTTTTTATCCTTTATGAATATCAAATTATATATGTACATGTACATTTATTTTTCCTTCCACTAGCTATCCAAATCACTCAATATACAAGTAAATGTTACCACTTTGTTTAAGTTTTAGCATTAAAATATGATTATTTTTTCTGATACATCCCTAAATTAACTCTTTTGGCTAGATACTGCTTGAAAATGTCAAGCGTAAATTCAAGGAAGAGCTGATTAAAAGAGGTGAATTAAGACGCTTCATTATAAACCTAATGAAGGTAACTATGCAAATTTTTTCACTCTGGAAAAAAATCATCTTTGAAAAGTACCAAATACATACTGTATAAAACATTATTTTTAAGTCTTTGAGATAACAAACATTTTCTTAAAGGGCAATTTTGTAAAACGTTAACTTAAGATATTGGGATTATTATTTTCAATTTAAAAAGGAAATTTTATTATTATTATTTTCTTTTAATTTTGGCAGATGGAAAAAGGCGTCTATGAGAAAAAAGAAGTAAGTTACTGAGTACATTTTTTAAGTTCACCTTTTTTTAAATAAAAATAAAGTGATTAAAAGTAACACCCCAAACACGAAGAAAAATATTTTCCATTTTATACTAATTCCTCAACACATGGAATTGAAGAACCATGCCAAGAGCAGAAAAAAGTTCTTTATGATTTGATGATTTTAGGTTGTTCAAATTCATGGCCAGTGGGGGAGGGGGGGGGGGTCATATATTAGCAAAAATATTAAGTTCTTAAAATAGCAAGACTGTTATTAGACATTATTCAGTCATATCTATGTTTAACATCTTCATGCACTGTATATTTCAATTTATATAGAGATTTCTTGAAATTTATTTCAAATAAGATATTTCAAAATATACAAATTAAATATGATTTGCTGATCTAGTATTTAATATCTTTAAATTTTTTTTTTTCAATTCTGTCAGGAAAATGCTGCAATTGTACTACAGAAAACTTGGAGAGCTTACAGCATAAAATGTTGGTACAAAAGGATACAGTCAAGCACTGTAATTCAAAGAGCATGGCGTGCACGAAAACTGAGGAAAGATTTTCTAGGGAAACAAAAAGCAGTAGTACTTCTACAACAGAAATATAGAGCCCATCAACTAGCCAGACGACGCAGAGCTGCATTTATTCAGATGAAATCATCATCCATTGTTATACAGCGGGCCTGGAAGAAGCACAGCAAACAAGCAAATCGAAGAAAACTATTAATTTAACTACAGAAAACTTGGAGAGTTTAGAAAGGGAAATGTCGGTACAAAAGGATACAGTTAAGCTCTACTGTGATTCAAAGGCCATGGCGCACACGGAAACAGAGGAAGGATTATCTAAGGAAACAAAAAGCAGTAGTATTTCTTGAACAGAAATACAAAGCCAATCAACTGGCCAGAAGGCATAGAACCACATTTATTCAGATGAAATCCTCCTCAATTGTTATGCAGCAGGCTTTAAAAAAGCAAATGGAAAAGCGCAATCAGGCAGCAATCATTCTTCAGTCGTACTGGAGATGTTTTAAGGCTAATCAGCGAGATTACAATCAAAAGAGGCAAGCAATTTTAAAACTGCAGGCATTATTTCGCATGAAAATCCAGAGATATTTTTTTCTGGTCAAAGAGATGGCTGCCTGTAAAATTCAAAAGTGGTTCAGAAATGAATTACAAAGAGACAGGGTTAAAACAGAATACCAGAGAAAGAGACACTCAATAGTAGTTCTTCAAAGTGCTTCAAGAGGTTGGATGGCTAGAAAACAAGAAAATCAAAGAAAATTCCTAATTATCCGAATCCAGTCTGTGGCCAGAAAAATAATAAATGAGCGGAAGTTCCAGATTTGGAGGAAATATACTGTGCTTTGTCAAAGGCGCTATCGAGCTAAGTTGCATGGCAGATTGATCCGTCGTCAGTATTTGAACCTCATTGCAGCAGCTGTGACAATACAGTCATGTTACAGAGGACTTCAGACTAGAAGGCTGATGTTGCTGAAAGAGGAAAGTGCCAAGGGAATTTAGTCATGGTACAAAGGCAGAAAACAATACATATTGTACACAGAACTAAGGCAATCAATCCTTGTTTGTCAGAGAACTTACAGAGCTAGTAAGTTAGCACAGTCAGATCGAAGGAATTTCTTGGTCCTTAAAGGAGCAATTCTTTCTATACAGGCATTTTATAAAGGTTACAAGACAAGATGCATGTACCAAAGAATGGAGCAGGCCATAGTGCTGCTCCAGACTGGTTCTAGAGGTATGCTAAAGAGAAGAAGGATCAAAGGACTTGTCAAGGTTAGATCAAGTAAAAATATTAGGATTAATAATCAAAATGTCAATTGAATAAAAAGCAACGTTAAAAGAAAAATGCTTTAATGAAATATGTAGACAAAAAGAAGAAATGTAATTTCTTAATTTTAATATGAATGAATCAAAATCAGGCTTGTTCAAATTGTGGTCTGGGGCCACAATAGGATGTTAATGTTTCTTATGGGAATATTAAGTAAATTCTTTGAAAAAATTAGCAAGGCAGTAATTAGTCATATTGATGTGCAAGCATCCTCAACTTTAACAGTACATTTAAATTTGTAGTCATAATAAGGCAGATATTCGAAACGGGTGCAAATTAAATTTAATTTACTGATATATTCAGTAAAATATGTTTTAAATACTGAGTATATGTAATTATTTCTGTCAGGAAAAGGCTGCAATTGTACTACAGAAAACATGGAGAGCTTACAAAGTGAAATGTTGGTACGAAAGGATACAGTCAAGCAACACTGTGATTCAAAGAGCATGGCGTGCACGAAAACTGAGGAAAGATTTTCTAAGGAAACGAAAAGCAGCAGTATCTCAACAACAAAAATACAAAGCTCATCAACTGGCCAGAAGGCATAAAACTACATTTATTCAGATGAAATCGTTAAATGAGAAACTGCAAGCTCGGGAGAAACAGATGGAAAAACACATTCAGGCAGCAGCCACTCTTCAGTCTTACTGGAGGTGTTTTAAGTCTGATCAGCGAGACTACAATCAAAAGAGGCAAGCAATTGTAAAACTGCAGGCATTCTTTCGCATGAAAATCCAAAGAGATATATTTTTGGTCAAAAAGATGGCTGTCTGTAAAATACAGAAGTTTTTCAGAAATAAAATACAAAGAGACAGGGTTAAAAGAGAATACCAGAGAAAGAGACGATCAGTAATAGTTCTACAAAGTGCTGCCAGAGGTTGGCTGGCTAGAAAACAAGCAAAACAAAGAAAAATCATAATTATCCAAACCCAGGCTGCGGCCAGAAGTCATTAACTGATCGCAAGTTTCACACTTTAAGGAAAGTGTCAGAATTTTGTAAAGAAATCCAGCAAGCCAAATTGCATGGAAGGTTGATTCATCAACAGTGTTTGGCCCTCCATAAAGCAGCTGTGATAATGCAGTCATGCTTTACAGGACAGCAGTCTAGTAGGTTGATGTTGCTTGAACAAGAAAGTGCCAGGAGAATTCAGTCATGATACAAAGGCAGAAAACAATACATATTGTACACAGAACTAAGGCAACCAGTCCTTGTTTGTCAGAAAACTTACAGATCTAGTAAGTTAGCACAGTCAGATCGAAGGAATTTCTTGGTCCTTAAAGGAGCTGTTCTTACTATACAGGCATTTTATAAAGGTTACAAGACAAGATGCATGTACCAAAGAATGGAGCAGGCCATAGTGTTGCTCCAGACTGGTTCTAGAAGTATGCTAGAGAGAAGAAGGATCAAAGGACTTGTCAAGGTTAGATCAAGTAAAAATATTAGGATTGATAATCAAAATGTCAATTGAATAAAAGCAACATTCAAAGAAAAATGCTTTAATGAAATATGTAGACAAAAAGAAGAAATGTAATTTCTTAATTTTAATATGAATGAATCAAAATCAGGCTTGTTCAAATTGTGGTCTGGGGCCACAATAGGATGTTAATGTTTCTTATTGGAATATTAAGTTAAAATTCTATAAGAAAAAAAAAATAGCAAGGCAATAATTAGTCATATTGATGTGCAAGCATCTTCAACTTTAACCGTACATTTAATTTTGTAGTCATAATAAGGCAGATTTTCGAAACGGGTGCAAATTAAGTTTAATTAGTGATATGTTCAGTAAAATATGTTTTAAATACTGAGTATACGTAATTATTTTTGTCAGTAAAATGCTGCAATTGTACTACAGAAAACATGGAGAACTTACAAAGTGAAATGTTGGTACAAAAGGATACAGTCAAGCAACACTGTGATTCAAAGAGCATGGCGTGCACGAAAACTGAGGAAAGATTTTCTAAGGAAACAAACAGAAGCAGTATCTCAACAACAAAAATACAAAGCTCATCAACTGGCCAGAAGGCATAGATCCACATTTATTCAGATGATATCGTCAAATGAGAAACAGCAAGCTCGGGATAAACAGATGGAAAAACACATTCAGGCAGCAGCCACTCTTCAGTCTTACTGGAGGTGTTTTAAGTCTGATCAGCGAAACTACAATCAAAAGAGGCAAGCAATTGTAAAACTGCAGGCATTCTTTCGCATGAAAATCCAGAGAGATTTATTTTTGGTCAAAAAGATGGCTGTCTGTAAAATACAGAAGTTTTTCAGAAATAAAATACAAAGAGACAGGGCTAAAAGAGAATACCAGAGAAAGAGACGATCAGTAATAGTTCTACAAAGTGCTGCCAGAGGTTGGCTGGCTAGAAAACAAGCAAAACAAAGAAAAATCATAATTATCCAAACCCAGGCTGCGGCCAGAAAGTCATTAACTGATCGCAAGTTTCACACTTTAAGGAAAGTGTCAGAATTTTGTAAAGAAATCCAGCAAGCCAAATTGCATGGAAGGTTGATCCATCAACAGTGTTTGGCCCTCCATAAAGCAGCTGTGATAATGCAGTCATGCTTTACAGGACAGCAGTCTAGAAGGTTGATGTTGCTTGAACAAGAAAGTGCCAGGAGAATTCAGTCATGGTACAAAGGCAGAAAACAATACATATTGTACACAGAACTAAGGCAATCAATCCTTGTTTGTCAGAGAACTTACAGAGCTAGTAAGTTAGCACAGTCAGATCGAAGGAATTTCTTGGTCCTTAAAGGAGCTGTATGCTGTCTGGAACAGCTAGCTAAACCTCACACCTCACACCTCATACTTGATCATTGAAGAACACATGGTAACTGGTTCCATATTTATTAACAAGCGAATTCATATTCCAATCAGTGAATGAGCGAATGAGCCTAGGTGAGTGAGACAAAGTGAGCCTATGTGAGTGAGCCTAAGTGAGCGAGTGAGTCTACACGAGCGAGTAAGCGAATGAGCGAGTGAGCGAATGAGGTAAATAACTGAAATAAACAAAATCAAATACTATAATACTGATATACCAAAAAGACAATAACGGTGTTCCATAGAAATAGCTCACTTATAAACCTTATCATAATAACAAATTACTATAAAGCATATTAGATAAATTGAATAACAATAACTAATTCTCGTGACTTCAGTGACTTTAAACTTTACAAAAAATACCGGTCTGAATAAGTTTTCAATACACAAAAACTCTATAAATAATCACCAAAAAACTTTACAAATAATAGGTATGAAGTTACAAAAGTTTCCTATAAAAACTTACATGGTAATAGGCCACAAATCGTAAGAAGGTAGAATGTTACATGTACATCCTCATGGATGGAACTCTAATGGCAGACTGAATGAAAACTTGCACGAGAAAATGAGGGAGATAACTCCTGACACAAAAGATTTCCACTCAAGGAAGATAATTCAAAAATTTACAAAGAAGGATAACTCTTTCTGATATCTGAATAATACACATATTTCACTCCGTATAATTACACAAAAAAGCAAACAAAAATAAATAAAAAATAAGAACTGTGACAGCACACTCCCCGTCTGATGTTTCTAACATCACATATACAATTACAAGCTATACATCAATGTCATTGGATAGTAGCAGCACCATCTCTGTAACTGGACGAATGAATGTTGACGACTGGCAACCGCGTTTCGCGACACGAATTTCAGCTTTACGAACTTTCCCGTCATCACTGGGAAACACTTTCACAATGACACCCATAGGCCAAAGGTTACGATGAACATCTTTATCGCGAAGTAACACAATATCACCTTGTGTAATGTTTCTTTCACTACGCGTCCACTTGCGACGAATCTGTAAAGTATAAAGATACTCTTTTCTCCAGCGTGTCCAGAATAAATCTGCCATATGCTGTACGCGTTTCCACTGAGCTTGATACATGTTCATCTTGTCAACAGGAAGGTCGACGATCACAGGAGTTTTCTGGGTAAGTATCATGGAAGGGCTCAGAGGGTACGGTTCATCTGCATCTTCCGATAAGGGGACTAATGGTCTGGCATTTACGATTGCTGAAACTTCTGCCATAAATGTCGTCAGTGTTTCATGAGTTAGTGATCTAGCTGGTATCTCCTGCATCAATCACACGTCTTACTACTCCAATGAGGCGTTCCCATGCGCCACCCATATGCGAAGAGTGGGGTGGATTAAACTTCCAGGTAGTTCCACACTCATAAAGGAAGTTTTTGATTTTACCGTCTTCCAAGTTGAGTCCAGTTGAATCAATTTTCAGGTCATTTATAGCACCCACGAAATTGGTTCCTTGATCTGAACGAATTTGGGTAACTTTTCCTCGAATGGCTTCAAACCGCTTAAAGGCATTGATAAATGATGAAGAGCTTAACTCCTCCACAACTTCAATGTGAATTCTTCTCGTTGTAAGGCAGGTAAATAAGATTGCCCATCTTTTCGAGTTTGCAGATCCTCCACGCGTCCGACGAGTAACTATCTCCCATGGTCCAAACGTATCCAGGCCAATGTAAGTAAATGGTGGACTAGGCTCCAAACGATCGGTAGGAAGGTCCGACATTTTTTGACACAATAGCTTTCCACGTAATTTTCTGCATTTGACACAGTTGTGAAGTATGGATGAAACTAATTTTCTGGCTCCTATTATCCAGAA